AGAATTACCCTCCCAATTGTTGATATCAGAAATACGGTGTGGCTACAGTGCCAGGGCTGAATTTTTGTCCCAGTCCGCCCCTGCTGAGAGGGAATCACCTAGAGGAAAACTTTACACAGACAAATAGGCTTACATGGCTTAATGCATTAAAACAGTGCTTGTCTGTACATAGTATGATTTATTAATCATGTTCTCACTGAGTTTCGTCTTTTAAAAACAGGTTTAATCGGTTTTATACAGTCTATGGTTTTAATTCATTAAGCCACGTTAAGAGTTTTTCTTACAGCCTAACGGTTTTCTATGGGAGGAAAACGCTTAACGAGTAACGTTAATTACAGGCCTAACGTTACAGCTAATCACAGTCTGTCGGATTCTGGAGTGTAGTAGAGTTTTGAATAAAATTATAAAGAATAAATAAATTAATAAATAAAATTACATTACAATATCACTCACCAGAAAAAATGGATCCCAGACTTGGACGGTCTGTTAGTACAATTAACCGCACAACAAGACATTTTATTTGATAATTTTAAGAAATAATCACGAAAATAACCCATAGACTGAATAAAACAAAAGCAGAAACACGGCAGAGATGCCAAGTTCAACGGCTGATAGAGACAGCAGCGGCAATCCACCTGTCACTCAAGTGGCCACGCCCTTAATTATGCAGAATTTTAAGGCTTAATATAATTTAAACGGATGAGTTATAAAAAAAAATGCACCCCCCTCACAGTTGTCATGAAGGGCAAAATTAGCTATATAGACCAAAATAATTTTTTGAACCAGGCTTAGTATGTAACAATACTACAGCGAGAATAAAAGTTACCTTCTTTCTTTGCCTGAACATTTGGGCGGCGTTATGCAAATCTTCCCACACAGTGACGTAGACATGTGGGGGCGTGTTAGAACGAGCCGTTTTAGGTAGGCGTGGTTGACTCTTAACTTTTATAAAGAATATCTCTTTGGATTTGAGACTTTAGTCTTTGCAACTTTACAGATCTTCTTTATGCACCAAGAGCTTGTAACACTCCAAAGAGAAAGGAAAACTTGAAATCGCATCATATGACCCCTTTAAGGATTTACATTTTTAAGGATGCATGTAGACAACCACAAAAGTCTGCTGAGTGATCAGTGATCGACTAACTTACCCAAAAGCAGGGGCGGTTTCTTCATTAGGACGAAAGGGTGACACGAGGGAAGTGCGAAAGGGAGGGATTTTTGCTATCACATTCAACCACAGTGTCACACTATCTATCACTGTTCTAGACGCATTCAGCGCGAGACTCGCGCAATTGACACTTTTCTCATGCTCTCACGCCACACATCCATTTTCTCATGCAGTCAAAAGCACTCTCAGACTGTTATAATAGGATATTGGCAAATCAGATTTGGTAAAGGCTGCAGTGTGCATTTGTGTTTGTGCTCTGTAAAGCGCTAAAAGATTCAATTTAAAGGGGTCATATGATGCTATTTCAATTTTTCCTTTCTCTTTGGAGTGTTACAAGCTCTTGGTGCATAAAGAAGATCTGTAAAGTTGCAAAGACTAAAGTCTCAAAACCAAAGAGATATTCTTTATAAAAGTTAAGAGTCTGCCACACCCCCCTAAAACGGCTCGTTCTAACACGCCCCACATGTCTACCTCACTATGTATTCGTCCAATCACAACGCACTGGATAGCTGTCCAATCAGAGCACACCTTGCTTTTCAGACCGATGAGATTTATAAAAATCGAAGTGTTTCAGAAAGGCGGGGCATAGAGGAGAAACAATAATGTACAGTATGTGGAAAATAATGTGTTTTTTGAACCTTAAACCGCATAAACACATTTCATTACACCAAATACAAAAAATAATGTTCTTTTTAGCAACATCATATGACCCCTTTAAAACGTGAGTAACCAATCACAGACATACTTGATTTTTTGAACACCTGTGATTGGCCATTGATTTTCAGTCACCTCTAAATGCTGCATTTTTTTCCTGCATGCTGGTGAATCCTCTCACTGTAATACAATGTAATAAGAGGTTCATTGATTATAAAGGAACTTTGTGACAATGCGATTAACTGAAGTAAGTGACACCTTATTAGTCATTATAAAGTAAGGGCTATTTGCGCACTTTCTAGGCTAGACATAATCCATTCAGAATTTGAATAAAAGTTTTGTTTTTCATGCTGCTAATGGCCATACACCCTATACAAGCAGCAAAGTTTCATTTTCGAATGGGAGAAAAATAATTTCTCAAAACAGATGTTTAAGCAATGCAGACTAATAGAACAATATTAGAATTTTCATGTCAAAATATTTTTTAATGCGATTGCAATTATTTATAAAAGTAATGACTAGTAAATCTTGCAATTCTTTCACTGTTGCTATTCTTGTTGTGGTAAAAAGTTAATAGTTTTGCAGCACTGCAACAGTTATTTGACATAATTTTATGATAAAAACACAGTACCATCACGACGTTAAATACTAGGCATCCTCTAGGCATCGTAGGTCCAGATGTCAGACAAAACTCTGCTGACAGGCGTTTTAGATTTTTGTATATAAATGTATAAAATACAAAACAACCCAAATAACCCCCAACCAACCTGCTGTGCGAAATCTCACTCAAGGTTAAACTCAAAAGTTGGCAACCCTGGCCCCTGTAAACAACAAAACAAACAACAAAAGGAAAGTATGACCAATGACCAATCAGACCAATTTCAGTTAGTCAGAATCCACCCACCTTACAAAACTTAGGAGTTTTGTTTTGTTATAAGTGATGTAAGTGTAGATGTACATAAGAGCTTAATTGATAATGGAATTTTTTTGGGATAGCGATAATAATATTATAATGGGAGCGCTCTCTGTGGCTTTCTTGGATACATGTGATCTATTCCGAATTAAAAAATAAAAGTTTTTAAAACAAATTTTTGGGAGTGACATCCGCATATATCTCGAAATCGCACTGACTGACATGATAGAGATAATCATAACAAAGGACTGGACAAAATATGTGTCAAGATAGGTGTGCATGAAGGCTAATTAAAGGGTTAGTTCACCCAAAAATGAAAATTAGCCCACAAATTACTCACCCTCAAGTCATCCTAGGTGTAGGGGTGGATGACGTATGAGGTCAGCGTTGCCCATACACCGTGAGTCTCGTGAAAACCAACGTTTGTTAACAGGAGCAAAGGAAGCAAAGTTTCCTTATGTTAGCAAAGGAAAACCAGTCTCTTGGCTTATATCGAAATCCCCCGACATTCTTCTTTACTTCTTTTGGTCTGATGCATGCAACACCCACTGAGTGGCATTAAACAGCTTGAAAGATCAAAGACTATTTTTAATATAACTCCGAATGGATTCGTCTGAAAGAAGAAAGTCATATACACCTAGGATGACTTGAGGGTGAGTAATTTGTGGGCTAATTTTCATTTTTTGGGAGAACTAACCCTTTAAGCACCCTGGCTAATTTCAGAAGCACAGTGTTTAGAGCTCCTCCGGGACTAGAGACCGGTCTGTGGCGCAGCTGTCGCTCATTCTCTCCACCGGCTTCGCCTCTTCACGCCACTAGCTATATTATATATGATTTAATGCATGTAAATGGTTGTATATATGAGTCGCGTCAATTTAAAAAGAAAAAATAGGGTCAGTGTGAAAACCACTGCCTTATTCCTACATGACAGAAAGACCTACCTGCAGAAGTTCTTGAGTTTCTAAAGCATCAGAGCCAGGGACATGTGAAGTTAGGTAGCATTATCAGCATATGCATTCGTGTTTTGCACTCCAATGTCATTTTTGTAAATTGAGCACCCCCTAGTGGTAGGTTAAATCAAATATTTTACTTTAAACACTTAGGAAATGGAACATATTTGTCTGTCGTATGCATTGTAAATTATCAATTCATTGTCAGACATATCATAATCACGATAGCCTATATGATTTTGGTTGCAACGGCTCTTGTTTATTGTATGCATATATTTAATGATAATATCACGTTATTTGTCTATAAATGAATTGCCATTTTCCCAAAAATAGATACTGTAAACACAAGACCACAACTATTGATTCTATTCTATTCTATTCTATTCTATTCTAGCTATTTATTCAACTCTCCTTCATAAGCCATTATTTTAACGAAATCAGTCTTTCTGTGGACCTTGGAAAACGCGATGTTAGGGATGTGTTTTTCTGAGTTGCTGAAGAGTTTAAGATGGCCATTAGGGATTTGGCACCCTGTCTATTATTCCGTTGACTGTGGGTCATTATTGCCGGACAACGGCAGAAAGAGAGATCTTGGCGTGCTTCAGTGGAGTGTGCCCGTCCCGTAGGTGAAAAGAACAATAGTGAAGGGGGTAAAGGGGAAGGGTCGCGCGCTATGGAGGAAGGGGTGGGAAACTAAAAGATAATAGTAGTTCTCCTACTGTGAAAACACTTAAAAACTAAGATTTCTTTGCTATTGTTGCACGCTACCATCCTCCAGCCTTTACCATCCACTGTCTTTGTTGGGGTATCGGATACTCCATTCTTGTTTTTGCTTGCATATTATGAAAACATTGCACCTGGAATTCAGTAGTAAAAAAACATGTTTCAAACGCATCCCAGTTCATTTAATGCCCTAACCTATATGCACGATATCAGGTGTAAAAACAGAATTAAACGTGACAATGAAATCCACAGGTGCATCCTTTTTGTGGTAAAATCACTTTTCACTTTGGTGTTAATAGTAGCTAAAGTGAGACCCACATTTTTCAACTGAGTCAATTCCTTGTAACTGTTACTGACAGTGAATCACTTGTGAAATAAAACTTTTGAACTCTTGCTTCATCTCAGAGCACCAGCACTATGCGTGGAACGTGGGATTCGTGGTATTTAATAGGCCAAACCCGAGACTGTGGGAAATTGTGCAGCAAAAAGCACCCATGTATTGTCATGGTAATTTCAGTGGGCGGAGATTTGAGGGGGAGCGTGAGTACATGTTAAACGAGGTTAAGTGGGCCTGTTTAGTTTCTAGATTTATCAAGACTATACGCCACAACAAACTCTAGTTTCGAAAATAGTCGTGGGAAAGCGAAAGGTTTCTAAAATACCCAGAGCTGCAGAAAAATGACGGCCTCTAATATCGGCAATGGTCCGGAGAAGAATTTCAACGCAAAAGAAGAACGAAAGGTAGTGACATTATCGTTATTTTGTGTTGTTTTCATGTATGCAACTATGGCAAAATATTTATGTATTTTTTCAATGCGGGATACATGTAGAAAGCCATACAAATATAAGAATGTAGGATGAAATGGAGCAGATTTGAGTAAATCGTACAGAGCAGCTTTAAAATCTCTATGAACTTGTTCCAGACTGCTATTTGTGTATCTTTTATTGACAATATCTAAAATAAATAAATAAATAAATAAATAACTAAGCTAAATTTCAAAAATAGCTGTTTAATAAAACAATTGATCTGTTTTGCTAATCTCAATATTGTTTCCACAGTATATCTAGTATCTCAGTTTTAGATTTTTATTAGTACCTTATGAGTGAAAATAAATTTTAATTAGCATGTTTTTTTTCCTCATTCAATGCTCAAATCTCAAGTATAGGCCTAGTTATGTTAAATACTCACATACAAATAATAATTTGGGATGTCCAATTAATATTTCACACTTCAGACATACACCTTACAGAACTGGCACGTGTGTTGTGTGTCTTGTGTTGTCAAATTTGTGCTGAATTAATCGCTTGAGGATGTAAAACTGTCTTGTTTATCATTTTAGCTGCGGAAACCCTTGATAGAGAAGAGACGCAGAGAGAGGATAAACTCAAGCCTTGAGCAGCTAAAGGGTATTATGGTGGATGCCTATAATTTGGATGTAAGTGACCCAGATAAGCAATAAATAATTTTATATATATAAAATATAATTTAACTAATAAATTGATTTTAATTATTTTATTATTTTGTATTCAAATAAATAATCATTTAAAAATTATTTTATATTGCATTTTTTCTCTCACTTTTCCCACAGCAATCTAAATTGGAGAAGGCAGATGTTCTTGAGATAACGGTTCAGCACATGGAGAACCTTCAAAGAGGTTCAGGTTAGACTATGCTAAAACCATATTGTACCTTTTTTCACACGTATCTGAGGTATTATTTCAAACATACAAACAAACCCTACTGGTCTTTAAAGGTAATTTCATGATTGTTTACATGAGGTCAAATCACCATGGTTAAATTATATTTTATTTCCAGGTAGTAGCATCAGTCCAGGCACTGGGTTTGAGTCTCGACAAAGATACAGTAGCGGCTATATTCAGTGCATGCATGAGGTGCACAACCTGCTCCTGAGTTGCCCTGGGATGGACAAAACTCTGGGTGCTCGTCTGCTAAACCACTTGCTGAAATCTCTTCCCCATATCAGCACCGAAGCCGGCGGCACGAGTTCTGTTGGCACCCCTGGTCCTCTTCCTCTATCCCCTACCCAATCCCCTCTAAACCTGCCCTCCTTACATCCCCATCCTCTCCACCTGCACACCCCTCCAACTCCTTCCCCACCCTCCAGCCCCACTCACTCTCCCAGAGTCCCACCGAATAGAGAGAGACCACGCGAACAGTCCTCTCCCCCCAGGTCTCCTTCCCCTCAGTCTCCAGCACGATCTGCCCTTCCCCCTTTCTTTCCAGGAGCTGATCCCTCTATGTGGAGACCCTGGTGAATGAATGCAGCCCAGCCCCCCATTTGCCCTCCCCCTGCCCTTCCTTGGCCTGCCCTCTTCTACCTAATAGTTTCCATTACATTTGATCTCTTGGGAGGTTGGAGTGCTTTCCACTCAAAGGGGTGCATCATATTGAGTTACAAAGTCCCATGGGGATGTGGTATCATTTAAAGCACTGTACTGCATGCTTGGAAGCACATTATGCTATGTTCATGTTTTGAGGGTATGATAACAAATGACACCAAAGCTGCCCTCGTTGACTGTATATACTAGTATTGCTGTCTTGACCACTTGTAGGGAAAGTTTATATTACCTTACTTTGCCTTTTCTCTCTTTTTTTTTACTAGCTGGGTTTTAGACATGGTTTACTGTGGGTTTTAGGGGATTTGTTGAAATTATGCATGTTTCTCTACCTTAAATGCAAAACACTAACGGTGACTCAGAAAGGGTAGAACTGACAAGATCATTTGTGAAGAATATACTCCATCCTTGTATATTACAAGAAGAGAGGAGTCTGACTAGTACCTCATATTGAAGCAGTTAAAACTGATTTTCTTTATCAAAAATCAGAACTGTGTATTGTCTTTGTATTCTCAAATATTTGTAATAAAGGTGATTTTAAAAAAAATTAAAATGACGCTGATCAGTTTGTATGTTTTTTTAACTCATATTTAATCTGTCATACATTAGAACTGGCTCTTTATTCCACTGACAAACAAATATTGTTAGAATTTAGATTTTTTAACATTTACAAACAGCATCACAGGCACTTACTTCTAAATTAATTTACTCAAATTCAACATTTTGTACGTCCCAATCCTTTTGTATTTATTAGTTATGCCAACAATTTGAACCTGAACTTTACATTCAATAAACTGTGTTAATACAGAAAATAAGAAAAAACTTTTTCAGGTTTGCCAATTTCTTGATGGATAGTTTAGCATGCCAAAGAGAAAAGAGCACAAGATCAACAAATTATCAAAGAATCAAAAGAGGCTCCATCAGTCAACAAGTGATGTAATGCCAAATTTCTCCAAATCTATACCAATGAAGAAACAAACTCGTCTACATATTGGATGGGGGGGGGGTGAATAAATTTCAGCAAATTTGCATTTTTGGGTGAACTATACCTTTAAGGTAAACAAAATATACGTTTGATCCATATTGTAAGAAAATTATGCTATTACTTAAAACAGTCACTAGATGTCACTATTTACTAGTCACAGCCCCACAGTTACTAGTCACATGCTAAAATAATATAACTGCCCCCAAAGCCGGCTCTGACTGCCCCCTAATGGATTATCTAGTGTTCTCCTACATTGAAAGCTAATTTCACTATAAAACATATTTAGTCTAGCATTCTAGTTAATAATAGATAAAGAGTGTAACTCATGTAGATTTGGAATTAGAGCAGGTTGGAGTCGGAAAGGAAATAGAACTTATTCAGGATAAACATAGTATTTAATTTTGTACAAAGTAAAACAAAACAAGAAGGCAATATTTCAGCTCATGCAACATTAAAAATATGAATTAAAAAAAAAGAAATTGTGCAACCTACCCTCCAAGGGTCTATCTTTCCAAGACTCGTTTTCATTCCTGAAAATTGAAGGGTAGATAGGATAGGGATGAGTAAATTTCCACACTTCCAGCTGTTTAATTCAACATGAGGTTCATTGGGGCACAGGTGTGTTTGGACACGTCTTTGACTGGTAACTCGTAGTTAAGTGTTAAATCTGCATCCACTCATGTTCACCATACATCCAGGTGGCAATGCACTAGACAAAACAGGTCTGTGATGGCCTACATTTATCCCTTGACTGGCCCCTTCATTCGGGCTGCTCAGTCTTCCTGTGCATACTTGCGTCTTTTCTCTTGAAGCTTGTTTTTAAATACATATATACAACTAAAATTGGCCATGGCTGTGCTAAGCCTTTTTCTTAAACAAACTACTGAAAATAATTCGCTGTGTGACCAAACTCAATCAGGTTTCTGACGACGAAAACTAGTGTGAGCCTTGTGATCCCCAGATTCCCCTTGAGGTTCATTATTCAGTATCAGCTGCAGAGCAAGAGCTCAGAGATGAATGGGGTTTTTGTTAGGCTTTGGATATTGTATGCGAGTGCAACAGATGGGGGTCGCATAGTTTGGGTGTACAGTGACACATCAAACCTTGGAGTTGTCAGTTCTTCAGTCTCATAGGAAAGCAATAGATCCCACATTTACTTCCTTCACATTTATTCATTTTGCAAATCTAGGAATATGTAAGTGTGTTGTAGGCCTATATTAAATATAGAGTAGTGTGACTACTGTTCTTAATACACTTCAATTTACATGACGTCAGGCAGCAGAGAATATCTGAACTTCTAAAAAATCATTTGTCACATCACAGGGCAATTTAGTGAAAACTACTGAAGCTACTACTACTGAAAATCAGGTAACTTTCTAACATAACTTTTTTAAACCTAAAATATGTTTTTTTGTGTGTGTGTGTAAATTTTCGCCTGATATGTTATTAAAACATGTTTTATTTAATTTAATTTACACTTTATATTTTGAATATTTAATTTTTAACCAAATTGTTGTCAACTAATTTATATTTATTCACACATATTGACACACATCTCTTTAATGAATAAATGATTGTCCTCTCATTACTATCCCTTTTATTGCGGCAGCAATAGCACGAAAATGTAGCCTGGTATCAAGATTGCAGCAAGGATAAAGTTACACTCTCCTTGTGGACTGTAGAGAGCGCGCCGCGCGACAGACAGACGGGGATACAGTAGCCTAATGGATGGGGGTTGGGACAGATGGATTGTCTTTGCAGGCAGACGCGAGGAACTTCTTAAATGAGGAAGAGCGTATTTATTGTAGTTTGGAGGACAGTTAAGCATCTCTACGTGGTGGGTTGTTTATCAACACAAAACTTTGTTGCATTTGGTGCCAGTTGGTGGATAACGGGAGACTCGATTCACAGAAGTCTGGAGTGCCGCTCGAACTCACATTTTTAAAGAAACAACCAGTTTGCTTCTGAAACACATTCTGGGTGAGTAGACCAGATAATGCAAACAAATACACTAATTAATGATTGTCTTAAGGGGTATTTTTTAGTCCATCTGACAGACGCTTTTCCAACTTCAACATCGCTCAGGATTCCTATTCAAATACCACTGTACATTGACACTGTTCGGGATTTTTCCCCTTGAAAACCACATGCTCTTCGATTCAGTTTTACACTTTATTCATTTTTATGTTTATTTACTCGTACTTTTGTTATGAGTATGTGTCGGGTCAACATATGGTCTAATGACATCCAACCTAAAGCGCTTTTCAGTTGCTATAGTCATCCCGAGTAATTACATAGATTATTCGGCTATGGGGTCGATTAGTGAGGGTAAGCTTGTTCAGCAGCTGCTAAGTTTTAGAAGTGCTTTGGTCTCATATGAGCGGCCTGTGGGACAAGGCTGGACTGTTGTCCACTCTCAGAAAAGATTTCTTTGAGGATTCCAATTTTCCACATGGAGTCAAGTTTCTGCAAAGGACCGACTGTTGTGTTGCTCTGGAGTTTCACTATAGGATTGTCTCCTTTACAAATAGTTTAAAGGGACAGTGAACCACCCAAAAAGTCTGTTATTACTCATCCACCCTCATGTCTTTCCAAACCTGGCTAATTGACTTGATTCTGTGTAATTCAAACTGTAATTTTAAAAAGAATATCCTGGACACTTATTTTAGTATGAAAATGAATGAGGACTGAAGCTGTCAAGCTCCAAATTGACAAAAATAATCAACAAAACACATAAAAGTATCGTAAAAGTGACCCATGTGATTTATATGCAATACATGAAGAGTTCAGATCAAAAGTCAATATTCACTGAAAATGATTTTGCTCTCCTTGGCACATTTATAGGAGAACTAGCATTTCGAGATTTTGACCTTTTAGAGCCTTGTTTTTTTAAAAATAGCCAATTGGACTAATCTGTGAAAGAAAGCATCAAATACTGCTGTATTTTATAGTTTTTGTTTTGTTAAGTGAGTCACGTTGTGTAAATAAAAAGTCACACACAATCCAAATAAATTACATTTCTTTTTTTTTACATGCACTTGAATGCGCACATAAATGGCACATAGCAATTGTTATGTAGGCTAATATAAACACAATGCTTGCTCTGACATTTGCATTATAGAATTAACCCTGCTTTTTGATTGTTGAGGCTGTCTCTGAACATGTCTCGCCTTAATAAAATATTAAAGTTGTGATTGGAGAAAGTGGGGCAGATATGTTTGACCTTGAAGCCTGTCTTGTCTGGCTGGTTTATGGTTTTCTTCACCAATAGGCATGAAGCAATTGTTTCTGTTGTTGTTTTTTTTATTATTGTATGGAAAACATTGCCTTTTTATTGTTTGGAGGAGTTGTTTTCTCCAGGGCTGGTTTATGGTTTTCTTCACCAATAGGCATGAAGCAATTGTTTCTGTTGTTGTTTTTTTTTATTATTGTATGGAAAACATTGCCTTTTTATTGTTTGGAGGAGTTGTTTTCTCCAGTTACTTCCCTTGTGATGACTAATTTTAAACTGAGAAAGGGAAAGCTCAAGAGCATTAAGAAGAGACAAAGTAAGCAGCAGAGGCTCCTCCATCTTGTCTGAGGTAGTGAGGATTTTCTTGAATGTAGATATGTTCTTTTTACAGTATTTTTAGTATGTGGTTGGGGTGTTCTTTTGAACCTTCTATTCATCAACAAAACATGAGAACATGCATTATGATTTCCACAAAAATATTAAGCTGCTTATTAAAAATATTAAAACTCTTTTCAGCATTAAAAAAATCCCAAAACAAACAGTGAGTTATATTTATGGTAAAATACTGGCAGCTGTGGTTGCCAGAATTTTACCATAAAAAAAAATATGGTAGCAACATTTTAGGTTTTAAAGACTTAACTTAAATTCACAGTAAAAAAAAAAAAAATCATATTTCATTAAAGGTGGGGTAAACAATTTCTGGTAGCCAATGTTGACATTTGAAATCACCAAAACAAACACGCCCCTACCCCAAAAGGGTCCATCATATGACCCCTTTAACTGATATAATATTAATATAACAACCTATTGAAGTACTAATATCTGTTTGTAACATTGTAATACACTGATAATAACCATCAAAAACAGGTGGTGATGAGAGACACAGGATGAATCAAGGTGCACAGTGTCATTCACACAAACACTAAGCACCATCCTGGTAACACATATTATACTGAAATAATGCAATAAACATTAATTTAACAACATTATAGATGTAAGATATTTACTCAAACGAAAAAAACATCAAAAGTGAAGTGCCATAAAGGGAATTCTGGGAATTATAGTCTATGGCTTTTCACTGTAAATTATACTATGATTAATTTTTTTCACTTCCAAAAAATGGAAATTAAACAGT